TCGCCAATGCCTTCAGTGCAGCTTGGACTTCTTCCTTCAATACCATCAGTTCTTGATCATATACTACCTCCTGAAATGGTTGAATGCCAACCAATTCTTTTTGGTACAGTGGCTCTGTATATTCCTTCCATCTTGCTTTGATGTTTCCTGCGTGGTTCAATATTTTGTCCATAGAATCCTTCACCTGTTGCAACTTGAGGCTTGAATTTTTCTGTAGCTCTTTCAGCTTGAGAAATGCCAAGTGTGTTCTTCCCTTTTGGTTTTCTAACACCAGGTCTTTGCACATTTCGTTATAATACTTTACTTTGTCTTCTCAAGTCACCCTTTGAAATCTTCTGTTCAGCTCTTTTACTTCATCATTTCTTCATTTGTTCTCGCTGGTGTACATTCAAAAGCCAGTTTTAGAGTCTCTTTTGACATCCACTTTGTTTTTTTCTTTCTTTCCTGTCTTTTTAATGACCTTTTGCTTTCTTCACGTATGATGTCCTTGATGTCATCCCACAACTCATCTGGTCTTTGGTCATTAGTGTTCAATGCGTCAAATCGTTTCTTGAGATAGTCTCTAAATTCAGGTGGGATATACTCAAAGTCGTACTTTGGCTTTCATGAACGTGTTCTAATTTTCTTCAGCTTCAACTTGCACTACCATATGACTGTTTGGCAGTGGGGACCTGACATTGTGCTGACTGATGAGACTGAGCTTTTCCATTGTCTCTTTCCACGAATGTGGTTGATGTGATTCCTGTGAACTCCATCTGGCGAGGTCCACGAGTATAGTTGCCATTTATGTTGTTGAAGAAAGGTATCTGCAATGAAGAAGTCATTGGTCTTGCAAAATTCTATCGTGCAGTCTCCGGCAACATTTCTATCACCAACGTCATATTTTCAAACTGCCAAACCTTCTTCTTTGTTTCCAACTTGCACATTTCAATTACCAATAATCATCAGTGCATCTTGATTGAATGTTTGATCAATTTTGGATTGCAGAAGGTGGTAAAAATCTTCAATTTCTTCATCTTTGGCATTATTGGTTGGTGTGTAAATTTGAATAATAATCATATTAACTGATCTTTCTTGTAGGTATATGGATATTATCCTATCATTGACAGTGTTGTATTTCAGGATAGATTTTGAAATGTTCTTTTTGAAGATGAATGCAACACCATTCCTCTTCAACTTGTCATTCCCAGTGTAGTAAGCCATATGATTATCTGATTCAAAATGGCCAATACCAGTCCATTTCAGCTCACTAATGCCCAGGATATTGATCTTTATGCATTCCATTTTTGACAACTTCCAATTTTCCTGGATTCATACTTTGTACGTTTCATGTTCTGATTATTAATGGGTGTTTGCAGCTGTTTCTTCTCATTTTGAGCAGCTGTTTCTTCTAATTTTGAGTCGTGCCACATCAGCAAATGAAGGTCCCGAAAGTCTTACTCCATCCATGTCATTAAAGTTGACTGTACTTTGAGAAGGTATCTCTTCCCTGGTGGTATTTTGAGTGCCTTCCAACCTGAGGGGTTCAGCATCCAGCACTACATCAGATAATGCTCCACTGTTATTCACAAGGTTTTCACTGGCCAAGTTTTTCAGAGGTAGAGTGCCAGGTCCTTCTTCCTAGTCTGTCTTTGTCTAGAAGCTCTACTGAAACCCGTCCATCATGGGTGATCCTGCTGGTATTTGAAATACAGGTGGCATAGCTTCCAGCATCACAGCAACATGCACACCACCACAGTATGACAAACTGACAGATTAAGTGCTTAATAAACGTTTGTTGAATAAATGTTACTGTTTTGATGTAATTATTTCTAGTCCTTTTCTATGCATATTTTACATGATTGCAGTCAAACTCAGTTTGTAACTTTTTTCCTTCACTTATCATGATGACAGACGTATTTCCTCAGGTCACAAAACTTTATAAACATTATTTTGAAAGCTGCTTAGCGTTATGTATTTTGTGTATACTTCATTTACTTATTCTTTTTCATATTTTTAGATATATGGGGGAAATACACATTTCAAAGGAACTTTGTAAATAAGACTTCATCTGTGAACAAGTAGATATACTGGCTGTTTTGCTAAACTCCTCTATGTTCAGTGGACCCTAAAGCTGCTAAAATCACATTCTGCTATTTACATTCATAACCTCATGCGAGTACATGAAGAAGTAGGAATAATGCCAGAGGGAAGTCTTGAAATTTGAATCAGGACATGACCTCTTCAGACTATTGTAATTAATAAATATCTTTTTATAGTACATTGTGTGAAATACTTAAGCCAAAGATGCAGTCATCATGCTAAATTCTAGAAATACAGAGACTCTAGAATTCGACTGAATTTTACCTGCTGTCTAATTCCTACTCTCCTTGTGAAGAATCCCCTGGGCTACCCTGGCTAAAGTGAGAAGACAGTTATGGTCAAGTTGTTATAGCGCCACCTGCTGCTGAAAAGGAAAAATGCCTAGGAATCCTCCAGGATGAATTCTCTGATTTTAAACACTGACTCGTACAATAAATCAAAGAGAGTAGATATGTGGTTTCTTGCAGGGTCCCCTTGTGTGAGGATTGGATGCAGTTCTTTAAGAAAAAAGGCTGTGAGTGGATTTCTGGCTTCAGATGGCTACATAGTATACTTGATTAATCCTATGTCTTAGAAATTTTTATCAAAATTCAAAAGGAATATACGAACAGGGAGAAATCCATGTCATAACAGGGAGAAATCCATGTCAGAACAGGAAACCATGGAAAGGGGCCAACCACGTTCTGGAATCTATGAGATCTTTCTGCATGATACATGATATAGTGCAGGGGAGACTGGATTGAGGAAAGGGCTCATTAGCTTGCCATTGACCACAAGCCTTCCTAGGAAATGAGTGGGGCAGACGCCAGGAGAACCCTGCCTCCAAATACCCACTAGCTCATAGTGGTAAGGGCTGGAAGTGAGGGTGGGTTATCGGGCGCATGTTGTTATTAGGTGTTGTCGAGTTGTTTTCCACCCACAGCAAACCCAAGTGACAGAGTGGCACTGCCCCATAGGCTTTTTTTTTGGCTTTAATCTTCACAGAAGCAGATCACCTGGTCTTTCTCCCTCCGAGGCACTGGGTGGGTTCGAACCGCAAACCTTTCAGTTAGCAGCTGAGTTCTTAACCATTTGCGCCACCAGGGCTCCTGAAAACCTGTTGCCATCAATTCCAACTCATAGCGACCCTATACTACAGAGTAGAACTGCCCCATATAGGGTATCCAACGAGTGGCTGATGGATTCAAACTGCCGACCTTTTGGTTAGCAGCCAAACTCTTAACCACTGCGCCACCAGGACACTTAGCAAGATACAAGTTACCTCAACTCTGGGAAATGTTCCAGATGCTGGAGTTTGCACATACTTGGCACACGAAATTAATTAAGAGCCTGGCAGTAATGTCAGTTAGAAAAGGATGGCAGGTGCCCTCAACAAACCATTACCCTGGGACACTAAATCGCAGAGGGATTTGAGCCATTTATAGTTTCCAGGTCAAATAATCAATGCCCAAGGATTTTATACTCAGCCAAGCTATTATTCAAATGTGACAACCACAGAAAGACATTCTTTGATATGCTGAAATTCAGAAAGCATCCCAGCCATACAGCCTTCCTGAAGCAAAACACACACACACACACACACACACACACACACACACACTTAAGGATTATGGTGGTGAGTAGTGAAACCAATATAACTCAAGAATTAAATGGAGATCATCATGGCTAATAGAATTATAAAATTAGAATACCAATATAACAAATAGTTCCCAGAAAAGAAGTAAAAGAATTCTATCATCAGCATCATTATCGGCCTCTCTCCCTAAAGCTCCAGTTTGGGGTGAAGAAAGGGAAAGAGTGAACACTGAGATTCTCATCTTACACCAGAAAGAGTTATATATATTCTATTTCATTATTGACCCTGACAGGGAAGTATGAGTTCAAGTATGTTATTGAATATACTTAATCTGTTGCTTTTATATTCTACATACTCAGTGCAATGGAAGAATTTCCAAATTATTAGTATAAAAAGGGAGCAAAGAAAATTTGATCAGTGTTGCAAAATAGAAAAAGAATAAGAGATCGCAGGCAAATTGAACTTACGAGTATGGATGAAAAAAGTCCCAAGTTAAATCTTTGCAGATAGAAATCAATAATATAATAAAATAATAATGTTCTCAAGAATGCATGGATGGTTCAACGTTAGAAAATATATTTACACAACATTCGCTGAATAAATGTTAGCGTCTATTGTGTGCCAGAACAAGCTAACTTCCCTGATCATCCTCTCTCAATCCTCCTGGGTGCCCCATTTATGACATTCCCTATTTATTTTCTTGTTCACTTCATTCATAGCACTTATCATTCACTGTAGTTATTTTGCACTTTTATTTATTTGCTTGTTTATTATTGGTCTTCCTTTACTAAAATGCTATTTCCCTGAGGGTAGCCATCTGGTCTGTTTTGTTCACTGCTCTATCCCCAATGCCTAGCAAAGAACCTCATACATAGTAGCTGATGTATTTGTTCAACATTAACTCAATATTTATGCAATATCTATTCATTTTTAATTAAATGAATGCATGAATGTATAACTGAATGTCAGTGACTATAAATCCCTGCCTCTAGAGGGCCTAAGGGAGTCCTGGGGTGGTGCAAATGGGTAATGCACTTGGTAGCTAACTGAAAGGTTGAAGGTTCGAGTCTGCCCAGAAGCACCTCGGACGGAAGGCCTGGTGATCTACTTCTGAAAGCTCACGGCCATTGAAAACCCCATGGAGCACAGATCTACTCTAACACACATGGGGTCACCATGAATCGAAGTTGACTTGACAGCAACTTTTTTTTTATAGTCTATAATGTTGGAGACAGATAATTCAACAAGTTCTTCCATAGTTGTGTCAAAATCCCAGTTTTCTAAGCGTGTTTTTCTATTCTAACTTACTTGCTGAATAAAAGACATGGGAACTGTTTTGCAGGAGTCTTCCACAACTTCCTCTCAAGAAAAGTCTGGAAAGCTAGAAGCGCAAAGTAATAACTACCTGCTTCCCAAAGCCTGCCATCAAAGGACACGCAGCAACTCAACCAGTAAGTGTCTCATCAGAATGTTTTCAGGAGCAAAGTTACGTGTTCCTGAATATCAGGAATATCAGGAATGTTGGGAGATTGGTGGGGGGGGGGGAGGTCTTTGCTGGTCCTGTTGGACTAAACCAAAATTGTGGTCCACTTGTCTCCCTGAGAAAATTCTTCATTGCGTGTACATACCCTGCCCAGCTGGAGGACTTCTGCATTTAGGTTTAGAGTTTCTCAGTGGTTTAGTCAATTCCTCCTCTAGACTCTTGAGTGCCATGTTGGAAAGACCTCAGAGTGGAGGACAGGAGACACGGGCCTCACTCCTGGTCCATCTTCCGGATTGCTTCTTGACCTTGAGAAGGTCACAGTCTCTCCTTAGTCCTCTGTTAGCTCATCTGTAATATGGTAGGGGTGAAAGCTGGAAGATCCCATGATTCTTAGTTACCGCAAATAGAATAACACTAATAAAAGTCATGAATATTTGTAGAATACTGAAAAGCATGAAGAAATCAAAGCCATACCAAATCTCAATATTAGAGATAATCTCTTTTAATGTTTTCAATTATTTCCCTCTTTCTATGCCTATTGAAGACTGACACTGATATCTCTTTCTGTATATATACATATATATATATATGACTTTTTCTCATATCATTAGAAACTTTGTAAACACCAATTTTAGTGGCTACATAGTTTTTCATTATATGAATGTATCATGATCTTGTTAACCTACTCCCCATTATTAGGAATTTAAGTTATTCTCGGTTTTCCAGTAAGATAATCGACCTTGCTGAATTTGTACATGAAATTTTATTTGATTTTGTGATGATTTTATCAGGAAAAATGTAAGAGGCAGTTGAGTGGTATGGTGGTTAAGGGGTCACATTTGGGAGCCAAAGCACTTGGATTTGGATCCTGCTTCCAGTGCTAATTATCTACGTGACTTTGGGCACATCCCTGAAACTAAGCTGTGTACTGTTCTGCTGTAACATGCACTGTCATTAAATTAATCATCTATTTTTGGACAGCTAGTTGCTTTTTATTTAATTTTTGGTGAAAATATACACAGCAAAACTCACTTCTATTACACAGTTTCTAAACATATGATTGTAATAACATTGGTTAAATTCTTCACATTGTGCCAGCATCTTGTTATTTATGTTCTAGTTGTTTCTCTCTCATTTACTTAATCTCCCTGCTCCCCAACCTTCTCAGCTATGCTTTAAAATGGCTGTTGACCCTTTGGTCTTATATAGATTAAAAAACAAAACAAAACAAAACCTGTTGCTGTCAAGTCGATTCTGACTCATAACAACCCTATAGGACAGAGTAGAACTGCCCCATAGGGTTTCCAAGGAGAGGCCTGTGGATTCGAACTACCAATCTTTTGGTTAGCAGTCATAGTTCTTAACCACTCTTTCTCTCTCTCTATATGTATATGTATACATATGTATTTAGATAACACAATACTCAAGGGTGATAATCTTTACTCTTTGGGTTAAACTGTTACTTAGTTTAAAGGTGACTTCAGGAGATAATTTCAATTCAAGGTTTGAAGAGCAACTCAGGGCCATAGTCTCGGGAACTCCTCCAGACTCAATAGGTCCAGTAAGTCTGGATTCTTTAAGAATTTGAAATTCTGTTCCACATTTTTCTCCCTTTTTAATCAGGGTTTCTCTATTTTGTTCCTGATCAGAACATTCGGTAGTGGTAGCCAGGCACCATCCCCTTCTGATCTTAAGGTGGAGGAGGCAGTGGTTCATGAGACAATTAGTCCTGTACTCCAGTTCCTTCTCTGATTCTTGCGTTTTCTTCTTTCTCTTTTGTTCCACATGAATGAAGACCAATAGTTGTATCTTAGATGGCCACTTGTAAGCTTTTAAGACCCCGGACACTACTCACCATTCTGGGAGGTAGAACATAAGAACTACAGTATGCCAATTGACTGGATTGTCCCACAAGACCATAGCCCAAACCAACAGAACTAATCCCATGAGGTGACTGGTTATGTCTAATTAGTATCAGCATCTGTAGCCCCTCCATTTTTTGTTGTTGTTATTGTTGCAAAACCATACACAACCTAGCACTTGCCCATTCATCCCTTTTCCCTATGTACAGCTTATTGGTATTGGTTACGTCGGTCATGCTATACAAACTTCACCCATATTCAATGCTACCTTTGCCATTTCTATCAACAAGAAGTGACTATTACCTAAGGAGTATTTCTCCCTCTTCCCACCGCCCCACACCCCAGTAACCACTATTGAACATTAGTTTCTGTATATTTACCTATTCATGTCGTTTCATAAAAGTGAGAACATACAATATTTTTTTTTGTAATTGACTTATTTCACTCAACATAATGTACTCCAGGTTCATTCATGTTGTAAGATGTTTTAGGAACTCATTTGTCTTTACTGCTGAGTAATACCATATTTTCACGCAAATAATGTGTGCCTTCAACATTTATTTGCCAACTATGCCCTCCACCCCACCCCAAGGTATTTTCGTAAGCTGCTATGCCAATTTTTTTAAACACGTTGCTGTAAAAAAAGAAGAAATTAGGATAGACACTTGTGAAAATACTTCATGGGGGAGGGAGCAGTTGGCAAACAAATGTAGAAAGTATGCACTGTTTTCATAAAAATATGGTATTTCATTGAATGTATGTACAACATTTTACTTATATATTCTTCTGTTGATGGGCACTTAGGTTGTTTCTATCTTTTTGCTATTGTGAGTAGTGCTGCAATGAAAGTAGGCATGCATATGTCTGTTCATTTCACTTCTATTAGATCCCCAGGGTTTTATAATAAATTTTAATTTTTTTCTTTTAGCATAATTTTCTAGAAATGAAATTTTGGGCCATGAGCTAACTACGGTTGCTATTACTATCAGTTTTAAAGTAATTGATGACTATTTGGTCTCATATGGGTGATTTTTTAAAGGAGCACAGTACTTACAGGTGATATTCATTATTTTTTGAACTGATTTGTTACTTAGCTACAAGGTGACCTCAGGGATTACTTTTGGTTTTCAGTGGTTGATTTTTCAGAAGTAGATGGCCAGATCTTTCTTTGAGGCACCTCTGGGCCAACTCAAACCTCTAATCTTTTGGAGTTGTCCCTCCAACCACCAGAGACATGGGCTAACACTTCTCCGATAATATATATGAATGCCCACTTCTTCAATCAAAGCACATACTGAATCATAATTTAAAAAATATTTGCTTTACAGGTTTTTCTGTGCGTCCTCCTCTCCATCCATTCTCTGCTCTTTCCTGCCCTGCTTTGCACCCAGGAGTAGCTACATAATTTGTGAGGCTCAATGCAAAATGAAAATACAAGGCCCCCTGTTCAAAAATTAAGAATTTCAAAATGGCAGCCACAGAGCTTTAAAGCAAGCACAGCGTCCTTCTAAGCTTGGGGCCTTGTGTGATTGCATAAGTCACTTGCCCATGAAGTCAGCCCTGCTTGCTCCGTTCGGCATCACCCAGTCTCCCTGGCTTTCTAGTTTCTGGTTGAGTTCACCCAGTGGGAGGCATCAACAGGAGATTGGAGGGTGGGAGGAGAGATGTGCTGGGGTGTTTCTTCCCCTGTTCCCTCTGTGTTGGTGCTGCAGTTCTGGCAGTGGCGATGTCTCTCTGTGACTATAAATCATGTCAAAGTGGCCTATCTTCCATGGTTCCAGCTCCCTCTGGGCTCTAGTAACACCATTTCCTCCCCTTCAGGAGGCCCTTGTTATTTCCCTTAACCCTGCCCATTTCTCTGTAAATGCTCCCTTCATTAAATTCTTCTCAGAATCCCAGCTGAGTGTACCTTCTGTTCCTTGCCAAAATCTTGACTGACACACTTGCCTATATAATAGGTGGAATAGAATACCTCTCATTACTGGTGATGTTAAACATTTCTTCATTTCTTTTTTTAATTTACCTATTTTTCTATTGGGATAATCATTGTTTTGTCATTAATTTATTTCAAAAAAACCCTCTTGGTTAAATTAATACTTTGTTGTCATATTTGTTTGAAAATATTTTCTCCAGTTTGTTTTTATATTATTTAAGTGCTTATTTTTACATGAAAATGTCCTAATCTTCACATAATCAAATTTATTAATCTTTTCCTTTTTAATTTTAAAGTTTCTTCTGCATCCAGAGAACTGTTAAATAATTTTCTACATTTTCTTCTACTTTGTAAATAGTTTACCTTTTATTTTTTCAAACTTGTTATATCTGTAATTTATTTTTGGTATTTGATATGAAGTAAGTAGATAAATTTTCTTTTCTAAATCGGTAGCTAATGATGTTAGCATCACTTATTCATAATCTGTTTCTGCCCATCCTTTTATTTTAGATTTTTTGTTTATCTCTTGCAAGTGATAAACAATAGATATTGAAAGCAAACTTGGAAATATCTTTTAAGAGAAACTCAAGCCATTATTACTATAAGTAATAATTTTCTCTTACTTATCTCTTGTTTATGCTTTCTGTTCTATGGTCATCTGCCATTTCTTTTCTTCTTCTTGTTCTATGAACTATGTTGTGTGTGTGTGTGTTTAATTTTTGCAATAATTTGGAAGATTTTTTCAATTTTCATCTCTACGTTAGGTTTACTTTAAGCTTAATTAATTAACTGATGTTGAGACTGTATTTTCCAAATTGTCCTTATGAAAGATGAGGAATTTAGCATGATTTTATTCATCCTCAGGTTCTTTTCCCATTTCATAATTCCACTTAAATTACAAACTATTATTATTATTATATAATCATCACAATATATAGCTTCCCTTTCAAAAATTATTTTGGCTTTTGCATTTATAACCCTATTATCAACAAACTCACTCAATGCTATACCTTGAACTGGTTTCTACCTCCCCCTACTTGGGATGATAATTTTGATGCATTTTCTGCTTGGCTGAAGTGCATCCTTGAGTACTTTTCAGAAAGAGTAGATCAGGGCTGGGACCAGTCAAAACTTCAGAGAACACGTTCTGTCCTCACAGTAGGCCTCCCTGCCAATCTGAACCCACAGTGGGAATAGGAACTGCCAAATGCACGAGGGTTGCCTGGGTCAGTAAGGGCAGAAGCAAAGCCCAGGGAAGAGGAACCTGAGCTGCTTCCCCTGGGCTTGCCCATGGCTCAGAGGTGGATCTGCTCTGTGAGCCACACCTGTTTGCTTATCCCCAAGACCTGCCTTTATTTCCTCTGAACCCAAACCATGTGCCACTGCCCTCCTTCAAATTGCAGGCCACTGCAGTGCAGTACAGGGGCAGAGAGGGTGGGAGACTGGAAGGACTTGGGTTATGGCCCTGACCCTCATATTAACTGCTCTGGAACCCTCTGAGCCTCCACTTCCTCACTGATAAAGTAAGGAGTTGAACTTGATCAAGGGTTCCCCAAAGGACTAATGATAGCTGCATCACATCTGAGGAGCCTTATAAAAATACAGGTTCCCAAACCCCACAACTGGCAAAATTGATTTAGTAGGTCTGGCTGGAGCATTGACATCTGCATTTTTATGAAACACCCCAGATAAATATGATGCACAGGGAGGTTTAGGACTTAACTATCTCTAGTCCCTCCTCCAGCCCTGTCCATGATTCTGTGTCCTTCCTCCAGGGCGTGGTGGTTTTCTGAACCCTCTGGCTTCCTCTTTCTTCTGGTCCATCTGGGAGCAACTGGTCCCTGTAAGTCAGAGAAGACCACCTACTTGTGCTGAGACAGTGGCTTGAGCAGCTGTCCTGGCAGGGAAACGTCTCCCCAGCCACTCTTGGGGCCAGTCTGGGCCAAGAACTCTCCTTTCTCCACCATAAAAAAAAAAAAAAAACCCATTGCCATGGAGTCAATTCCAACTCATAGTGACCCTATAGGACAGAGTAGAACTGCCCCATAGGGTTTCCAAGGAGTGCCTCATGGATTTGAACTACTGACCTTTTGGTTAGCAGCTGAACTCTTAACCACTATGCCACCAGGGTTTCCCCACCATGGTCGCCCCTTTTCTCTTTACCCTTTAGGGTCTCATACCCTCAGGGCTGCCTGTTCTCTCCTCTTTTATCAACCTATTCTGGCCAGTGACTTCCTCCCTTCAGCCTATAAGCAAGTCTTTCTCATCTTAGGAGGAAAAGCAGACTCAAAACCCTGCTACAACCTGCATCCTTTCTGAACTACCACCCATTCTCACTTCCTCTTCTTGAGGGATTTTCCACAAAAGCCTTGTCCACTCACTTGATGTGAGGAACATCAGGAAATCCCTGCCCCTCTCTGGACCTCTAGAGCTTCACTAATAGAGTAGCCACTAGCCACATGTGGTAGGTAGTCCCTTGGTGGTGCAAGTGGTTAATGTGCTTGGCTGCTAACTGAAAAGGTTGGAGGTTCAAGTCCATCCAGAGGCACCTCAGAAGAAAGGTTTGGCAATTTACTTCTGAAAAATCGGCCATTGAAAACCCTATGGAGCACAGTTCCACTCTGATACACACGGGGTCATCATGAGTCAGAGTTGACCTGATGGCATTTGGTATGGTTTTGGTTTGGTTCATCTATATGTGGCTATTTAGTATTTGAAATGTGGCTTGTGCAAATGGAGATGTGCAATAAGTGTAAAATACACACTGGATTCAAAGACTAAGTACAATCATAGAAAAAATACGATACCATTAATAATTTTTATGGGTTACTTATATGTTGAAATGATAGTGATTTAGAAATATTAGATGAAATATAGGAGCCCTGGTGGCACAGTAGTTAAAATGCTTGGCTGCTAACTGAAACGTTGGTGGTTTGAACCCATCAGCCGCTCCTCAGGAAAAAGATGTAGCAGTCTGCTTCCCTAAAGATTTACAGCCTTGGAAACCCTATGGGGCAGTTCTACTTTATCCTAGAGGGTCACTATCAGTTGGAATCGACTCGATGGTAACAGGTTTGGTTTTGGGTTTTTAGAAGAAATAAAATATCTTGTTAACACTAATCTCATCTTTTTCTTTTTACTTTTCGATGCTGCGACTAGGAAAGTTTAAATTACGCATGTGGCTTGCATGTCATTTCAATTGGACAGTGCTAGACAGTGAGGGTTTAGATCAGACACTCTCTGAAGATACATCCAGCTGTAAATGGTCGAGTACAGTTGCTGGCTGGATGAAAGGAAGCCTAGGATTCCCACAAAGAAGAGAAAGCTGATTACTTTGCATTTGCATAGATTCCCCAAACAATCAAAAGCTGACTTCTTTGTGGGCCTGTGTTTGGGGTGTGTACATGCCTGTGTGTGAGTGTGTGTGTGTAAGAGGCAGTCAGAGTCTTTGGGGAGGGTGGATGTTGTGCTGGAAGCTCTCCCAGCTTTCTGCCCATGTGGTCTCTGGTTTGTACCTGTTCTGGAACCCTCTGTGTCTGCCTCCCTTCCGTCCTTGGTTGGGATTGAAAACTCCCTGATAGTAGGGACTGTATTTGACTTAGCACTGTGGCTTCCTGAACATCCGGCACACTGCCTGACACTTAGGAGATGCCTGTCAACGTTTGCTGACTTGATGGAGGATGTGAGAGTCTTGTCTGCAACCTGCAGGGTAGAAAGCATTAAAAACTTACCAAAATCGCCAAAACCAATTGTTGTCAAGTCAACCCCAATTCACGGCGACCCCATGTATGTCGGAGTAGAACTGTGCTCCATAGGGTTTTCAATGGCTGATTTTTCATAGGTAGATCACCAGGCCTTTCTTTTTAGGTGCCTCTGGGTAGACTTGAACCTCCAACCTGTCTGTTTGTAGCCGAGTGTGTTAACCATTTGCACCACCCAGGGACTCCAGAAAATGAAAATGAAAAAGCCGCCCACTTCTCTCACTGCCCCTCTCCCCACCATGCACCCAGTAAGTGGTTGATGTTCACTCAGTGGTTCATGAGGGGCTGGTAGTTGGCAGAAGCTGATACTGTTCTCAGCTGAACTTTGTATCTTGGGAGCATAAATGATTTCTTCTTTTTCTTCTTCTGCCAATTTAGGTGTTAATCCCTACTGCACAGGAGAAATAGATTTCCCCATGACCAAGAACTCTGCAACAACCACAGACAGGCAGCCTTATTCTCTCTGCAGTAACAGGAAGTCACTCTCCCAACAACTGGATTACCCAGCAGGAAAGGCTGCGGTAAGAATGAGAAGAGGGAAGCCTGCAGAAGAGGAAGAGGAAGGAGAGTTCGGGCTTAGCAGTGGCTGCAAAAGCCTTTCTCAGTGATTTTATGCCCACAAAACTAAAGCGGAGAGGGGCACACTTCTTGAGTATGGCCACCTCTAGGGAAAGTACCTCAGTAGTAATGGTCATCTATAGAGCGCCCCCTTTTGCCAGGCACCTGGAACTAATACTACTTCTATGCTGCTAGGTGCCATCCAGTCGATTTCCAACTCATATTGACCCCACACTAGGCTATAATCTGAGTCGGAATCAACTCGATGGCACACAAGAACAACAACATCAACAGTCTTTACAGTAGCACACTGCCAGTTCTTTCTCCCACGGAGCCGCTGGGTGGGTTTGAACTGCTAACCTTTCGGTTAGCAGCCGAATGCTTACCCATTGCGCCACAGAGCTCCTTCTACGCTATTAAGAGTTACATATAGAGAACTCTTTCGTATGTGAAGGCTCTGAACTAAGGATCCCTTAATTTAATCTGCACTCTAAACCTAAGGGGTAGACAAGGGACCTGGGACTTGGAAATGTTAAGGAATTAACACAAGTTCACATTGCCAATAAGAGGCAGAGCTGGGACTTGAGGTTAGATTTTGTCTCCAGACCTATATTTTTAACCTCTACGATCTAGTGATTTGTTTTACAGATATTGCCTCTAATCCTTTAAACAACCTTAGAAGGACTGTAACACTAGCTTCAATTCACAGTGAGGAAAGGAAAACTTGGCAGGTGAGGAGCTGTCTGTGTTCAGCTACCTAAGCAGCGAGAATTTGATCCAAGCCCTGTGTGACTTCACAACCCAGGGAAAACCCTACGGATCACAGTGATCTGAGCAGCAACCATCATGGGGGTGGCGCAGGACTGGGCAGGATTTTGTTCCATTTTGCAAGGGGTCACCATGAGTCGGGAGCCAACTCAGTCACAGCTAACAATAACGTTGTTGTTATGAGCTCTTGAGTTGGTTCCGACTCGTAGCAATCCTATAGAACAGAGTAGAACTGCCCCATAGGGTTTCCAAGGAGTGGTTGGTGGATTCAAACTGCCAGCCTTTTGGTTAGCAGCCTAGCTCTTAACCACTGCACCACCAGGGTTCCAACAATAACATCAGTACCAGATTTTACAGATGAGGAAACTGAGGCACAGAGAATTTAAGTCACTTCCCCAAGGTCACCGGCTGATAATTCACAGAGCCAGGGGAAGAACCCAGACTCTAACCTCCAGGCATATTGTCCCTCACCAGGGCAGCTTCCTGCAGCACACAGCATGTGCCTCTCTTTGGCACAAATTGCTTCTGCCGTGCAATCACCTGTCTGCCTCTCCCGAAATTTCTGCCCTGTTTTCTTAAGTCTTTGAGTTTCTGCCCCTCATCCACCACCTGCCACAAGGAGGGCTGTCAGTAAAAGTGTCTTGAATTGAACACAGTCTGTAGAAAGCATCCCTGGCAGTGGCCTGCTAGACTCTGCTTGAGATGTTGGCTGCAGGGGACGTGCTGTCTTGGAGGTCAGCAAGGCCTGTGATGTCACCCTTGACAAGCTTGAGTGAGCTACTGGCTGTTGTTGGTCTGCAGGAAGATGGAGCTCACAAAGCTGGCTCCTGGGGCCCCTGAAGCAAGACCCTACCCACCAGACTCCCACCCACACCTCACTAACCGCATACTTGTCATCATGTTGTGTGCCCTTAGGAGAGAGGGGACATGGTCCCTCTCCTCGCTGGGCCTTCCCTCTTCCCAGTAAGGCATGTTGTGCCCTCCCATGTGGCTCACCCTCTATCCACCCTGCTTCCTCCTTGCAGGGCACTTCCAGACCGATGCGGTCACTGAGCACAGCTCAGCTCTTGCAGCCCTCCGGGGCCCTCCAGGCTTCTGTCATCTCCAACATCGTGCTGATGAAGGGCCAGGCCAAGGTAAGCAAGGACTGTTGTTGCCAACAAAATACTGGAGCAATGCCAGTTCCTGAGGAGATGTCATGTCAAGGGATGGATGAAGGTGGATAGTAGTGATTCGGGCTCAGCATATGAGGACGAGAAGCCCTGGTGGTGCACAGATAAGTGCCTGAAATGTTGGCAGTTCAAACCTACATGGTGGCTCTGTGGGAGAAAGACCTGGTGATCTGCTTCCATAAAGATTACACCCTAGAAAACCCTATGGGAAATTTCTACTCTGTCACTATGAGTTGGAATAGACTTGATGGCACCTAACAACACATCATGCTTTTTGTTATTAGTTGGAGTGGCCCAAAAAGTAAGAACTACTCTAGCTCTCTCTAGATAATGAAGCATCATCCTGATTTCTGCCCCATGATTGAGAAGTCGAAAGGGAGAAAATAGTGGTGATGGGGGGTGTTGTTGTTAGGTGCTGCTGTTTAGTTGGTTCTGACTCATAATGACCCTATGTATAACAGAAAGAAATGTTGCCCGATTCTATGCCATCCTCACAATCATAGCTATCTTTGAGTCCATTGTTGCAGTCACTGTGTCAATCTAGCTTACTGAGCATTTTCCTCTTTTTTAAAAATTTTTTTTATTGTTGTAGTTTAAATGAAGTTTACATTTCAAGTTAGTCTCCCATACAAAAATTTATACATACGTTGTTATGTGACCCTAATTGCTCTCCCCATACTGTGACAGCACACTCCTCCTTTCCACCCATGATTCCCCTTGTGCATTCAACCAGCTCCTAACCCTCTCTGTCTTCCCATCTCACGTCCGGACAGAAGCTGTCCATTTAGTCTCTTGTATCTACTTGAGCTAAGAGGCACGCTCCTCACTAGTATCACTTTGTGTCCCACAGTCCAGTCCAATCCCTGTCTGAAGAGTTGGCCTC